AGTTTAGACAATGGCTCATTTTGGAGGCTGTAGAGTATGAAGCCGTGGCGGGTGCACGGAAATCTAATGCTCGGCATTGGCACGAGTTACTAGAATTTAGAATACCATCATCCAGATCTACTTATCTAACAGAACAACTTGCGCTTCTCCATCGCGATGAAATTTGTCACGCAATCATAGCAACACGCAGGGTTTAGGGATAGAATAATGGACAATCAACTGGAAAGAACGCGGAATCTTAGCCCCTTGTATATATGTATGTATGTATGTATGTATGTATGTGTATATACATATATACACCTATGCCAATCTCCATTTGGGTTGCGTTTTTTTGTGTGTCGTAGTCGGGCTGCGCTCGGTACCTGTTCGCAGACAGGAAGTGGTTGCGGTTTGGGGTTTAGGGATATGGGGTTTCCCATAGACACAGATAAATACAGGTCATATACCCTCTCTCATACTAACGTGGAAGCCCAAAACAAGCCCGACAAAAACTACTGTCCTTCGCAGAGGGGCCTACCTGGGCTTCCATGTTACTTTGCTGGAGGGTACATGGGCCTTGTCCACCTTTTAGAATTTTAGGGTTCAAGGGTTTAGGTCAGGGTTCAGTACTGTTTGAGAAAGTTCAGAAGTCAAGGTGGCAGTGGACCAAGCAGACACCTTTCTGCTCGTCCTAGGGTTCCATGTGGAGATGCGTGCTGTCCCTGCTTATGTTCCTGGACAGCCCTGATGATGTTGAATTCTCATGAGGACGAGGGGGCGAGGGGACCTCAACCCCTAGCAGCCGCCCAGATCGTTTGAAGATAGTGAATTGTGCGAGGTTTCAGGGCCCGAACGGATCCTGGGCCTACAGTCCGCCTGAATCCGCACGAATTGTATTTGTAGCAATAATTATACTGCACTCCGGGGCTCCCAGTTACCTAATTCATCGGAACTGGGTTCTATACACCCTAATTATAGTTACATAGACCAGTAACCCGCTATTTAGGGAACTGGGAGCTCTAGGGTATACTGCAAGTAAAGTCCATAAGTTTAAGGACTTCAAACTTACAACAGACTGACGTTGCTACCGAGCCCTGCCACCCTGGCCCCATGTTACACTAAGACTTTACGACCCAGATATGTCTGGGCCTCCCGCCGTTACTAAAAGAGTAGACATTTCTCTTCAGTCATCGAGATCAGGCTTCCACTTCATCCCCGCCCCTGACGCATGATGAGGGTTTAGGGTTTAGGGCCCCTGACGCATGATGATGCTCAATAGTCCTACTATATAATGGGGGACGGTTACCACAGAGGTACTAGTAGATGATATGTGACGGCGCCCAAGCTCCACCTTTATGTGTGTGGGACCCTGAACCCTGAAAAAACTTTCACCCCGGCTTAGCTCTCCTTGAGAATTTGGCGCCACTTCGTGACGAGTGTCGTCTGGGCCTGAATAATCCACTTCCCCCAGTCAACCCCCCATCAAAGAAAATGGAAACCAATCTGTTATTTCGGGTTTTGGCAAGTGTCCGGGTCGTAAAGTTATAAATCTCCTTATCCGTGCCTCTATCACATATTCAATGGCACGAGAACTGGAATAATATTGATCCTTATGGGGGGGGTCTTAACTTATCGCTAGCGGGAGAGGATTGATGAAGTTCTGTTCAGGCTGCCGACTTGCATCAGAACAAGCCCCAACATCCTGACAATGATGGGAAGGGCCTGTGTAAGTTCGACGTGGAGGCAAGCAGCGGCTAAGACAACGGCTGGAGTGTGTGCAGACATTCTGTAGGCGGTTGGGCTTGTTGGTCTGTTTTGGATGGGTGTTTGTACAGTGAGAAGAAAGCGTAGGGGCAGTGTGAGGAAAGTGCGCAGGAAGTTGTGAAGTTAGATGGAGGCTTAAAAAGGTGTGTTGATACAGGAAGGTAACACGAACGTGCAGGTCTGCTTCTTCCAAGACATACCTTTCACGGATTTTTTGGGTGCATGAGGCGCGTACGACATAGTTCTGGTAGAATGAACCATCGTGAAAGCCAGGATCTTTTGGAAATTACTCAGTGTAGATCTAGTAGTATGGACCCTCTTGAAAGCCGTCCGCACGTTGCAGCAAGAGCTGCCGGCATGTTGGGTTCGTGCAATGCCATAATGCATCCGCTTCACGTCCCAACTCCACAAAATATATTTGGTTTGTGCCAGCCACGCCAAGGTTACCGGGTTGTCACGTCAGCCCCTCCCGTCCTTGCCATAAGGTTTACAGGTGCAACACAAGGTTGATGGGCGTGCTGCCACCGGGCCGTGAATTTTTACATCCGGATAGACAAGCGATAGACACGGACCTCTTCTCCAGGGGTGCGAAGGGCCTACGTCCGTGCAGTTCTAGACACAATCCTGTAATGTGGAAGCCTGAATATTTGCCCACATTATTACCTGCTAATCCTGGTATTTGTAACCACAGTGCAATATAGACCCCGAAATTCCAATTCAACTGACTGTGGCCCTTGCATCCAGATGCCAAAAGAAACCCCCACCTACTCCCAACCTCCATTTGTTTTTAGTTTCCCCTCTTAGGGTTTAGGGTTTAGGGCACTATTCTACTTTCTTAGGCCCCTACATCAAACCATGGCCTGGCCACCATATGTCTAGAGGCTTTGGGGGGTAACCCCTACATAATTAGGACTCTTGTGGCCTATGGGGGGTTAACATGGGAACTACTTAGGAATACTTTGCTTATACATGGATTTTTATATGGGTTGCATATGTAATGGGGATTAAGGGTCGCTCTGAGGAGTCCCTCCTAAACACATTTAAATCAAATAGATCAGACACTATTCAAATGTTAGGGGTCCCCTAGACCTTAGACGGCAGGGTTTCGGGTGCTCATCTTGGAAGAGTCAGGGTTGGGACGCCACGCCATAGTGTCCCTTTAACGGCTATGTGCGTGATATAGAGGTTAGTGGGCATCAAGTGGAAAGGAGCATGGAGAAAGAAACGGAAACTGGGTGTATATTGGGATTGCAGTCGTAGGAACCTAACTGACTAGAACCGAGTTTTGGTTTGGGGTATGCCATATAATGCTGATATGAGAGTGGAAGTGACATATTCAGGCTTTGCATGAAATCCCACCAATTTCTGCTAAGATGCATCAATGCTGCAGTAGAGAGCTAGCAAGACAACGGCCATCTTTGCACTCGTTCCAAGATGAGTTGTGTTGTTCAGCACATTGCGCTGGCACTTTTTGAGGTAATCGCCTGCAGTCATAAACCCTACAGCTTAAACCTGACATTAACGCTAAGCCATACCTCACACGAAGGCATTAGAGAAGCTTTCCATGCAGTCGCAGCTGGTTGCCTTGGGGCTACTCTCTGAAGATGAGGACCCCGAAGAAGCTGCGGTTTTGTAGGGTCGCCTTGGTATGGTCCATTCGTGTTGACGGTCATATTGTCCAAGGGGCATCTCAAAAGGGGCCCTGGTCTTGAGAAATCTCCCCACATGTAATTTTGACATTTGCATGTCAGAAGATGCCAGGTGGCCTTGAAGGGAGTATATATGGGAAGCAATCATACGATGGATACTAAATATCCTGCATGACCCTGAGTCCCTGAGTGCCTTATGCCTTGGGGAGTATAGCGCTATAGTATACTAAACTCATGCAGGATGTTCATTATCAACGGTAGTTTGCAGCACAGGGTAGAGTTTGCAGTGGCTTCCTGTAGTCATCAAGTCATCAACCTCGGTCTCTTGAGGGTTTAAGGTTCAGGGTGCAGGGTTCAAGGGTTTAAGGGTTTAGGGTTCAGGGTTTAGGGTTTAAGGGTTTAAGGTTCAGGGTTTAGGGTTCAGGGTTTAGGGTTTAAGGGTTTAGGGTTTAGGGTTTAGGGTAGGGAGGCTCATAAACCCTCAACCCTAGAACCGCCAGGGGTCTTCAGGTGGTCCAAAGTAAAGGTGCGCAGGGACATGGGTACAGAACAATCGCATATGCACATATACAAACATAAACACCCACAATCGTATATATACGTATATAGATATGTGGAATGAAGAAGTGTGTATATGTATGTATGTATTTAACATACTTCCACATCTGCATATCTACACATGCAGATTGCATGAGCCGAGCTGCCTCCACAGAAGACTTGAAGTCAGGCTTTTCCTTAACTCTCCCCTCCTATGAAGGTATAGGATTATAGGCGTTATACAGAGCTTACATTGGAGTAATATAAGGATGATATTGGGGTTATATAGTAGCTATATTGGGGTTGGAATGGGGTTATACAAGGATTATACTGCACAAGGAGCTCCTTGAAGTTGACCCACGCCAAATCCCCAGCCATGCTATGTTCCGGCCAGAAGCGCCACCTTGCTAGGTGAAAGCCCAGCTCACAACCAGGTGATATCCAAGTTACTTACTATATCTTGCGTTTGGGGTTTAGGGTTTAGGTTTAAGGGGTTTAAGGTTAAGGGGTTTAGGGTGTAGGGCTTATACATACCTAGAGCTCTGCGCAGGAGATGTCTGATCACGAGCGCCTGGAGGAAAACGTGCACAAGCAGCCCATCTCATTGCCTGCTGCTCCGGCTTGGGCCTCGGTTTGGAGCTTTACCTTTGTGGTAGCGGTGTGAGGGGTTGGGTTTGAAGGCTTAGGGTTACCTGTGTGGGGCTTATATTCTACAGTAAAGTATGGCCTGAATCCAGAGAAACCCGTTCTAAGGACACTGATCACAGTAGCGCCCCTAATTTTAACCCTAAACCCTAAACTTAACTCTAAGTTCATTGTCCGGGGTTGTAGCTCCGGCAGCCTTCCAAGTATGTAAGCCAAGATGCTCTAAAACGTTGCACTCCAAAGGTTCAACCGTTTAGGGTTTTGGGGTGTAGGGAATAGTAAATCGCTTTTGTGCGGGACTCAGCTCAAAAAAACAAGGGCCTTAGGGAATCCTAATTCCTGTAGAGGCCAAGGACCTATTTGTAAGCCTGAAGCCCCAATGCCAATCCCCACTGTGTTTTGCTTGCTTGGCCATTTGATTCTCCGTTGTTGGTGGTTATTTGAGCTATAGTCTGGATTGTACAGGACTGCCATTCTAGGGCTTATGAAGGGGGGATGCTAGGAGTTTGGAACATATTTTAGGTGGACCCACCCACCCAGTAATAGTGACTACTATGGATAATAAGGATTATATTAGGGTCCTCTTATATTCCTATTATACCACTATTTCAGGGTGGGGGGTGTTCCTAAACCATTTCGGCTTCTAAAGTACACCCCTCCTTCTTCTTCCCTGGCGCCAAGGAGGCTGCAGTCAACCTCGACGAGCTCGAGGACATGGCGATTGGATCAAAAGTGGCAAAGCTTTCCCTGGTCTAGGGTTTAGGATAATGGAAAAGAAAATGGAAACTACTATAGTATATTGGGGATATATAGGGTATAGGTCTCAGGGTTTAGGGTTCAGGGTTTAGGGCATAGGCCTCAAGAGTTGTTATCATCTAAACGCTTTTGGAGAGTTTTTTTTGACCTTGTCTTTCTGGTGCTTAATGGGGAATGTGGGAACAAATTCCCCATCTGACCCCTACATAATATGTTCTCTTATTCCCTACTAACCACCAGCAAGTTGTAGTCGAGGGATGACTGAAGTATGTGTACGTGGTGATAGTTGAGCCTGCAAAGACGTTCAGGAGTTTTGTTGACAATAGTAAGAATAGTCATAGCAGAAAGGACAATAATCGTAATGTTCAGACTAGTATCAATAACCGGAGAACAAAGTAACGATAAAGTAACGATAGTAGCGCCTTTGCTCCCACCTGAAATGCAGAGCTTGACGCACTAAGCTTGATGTCGGAGTAGATGTTGGAGAGGCCTTTAGTCCTTTTGAGTCCGGTACAGTATCCACCCGAAGTGAACAGTCTTGTTTTCGCAACTCTCCCAAACTCTAAGGAAATTGTCTCCAATGCCAGTGATGACGTGACTCGGAAGCATGACGACGGGCGTTCTTTCCAGCATCTAGGTTCAGTGGAAAGGGTTGGAAAGGGTCAGGACAGATCCCGATCAACAAGCAGTAGCTACAACATGAAGTAGAAGACCTGCTAGCGTGCATCATTCTCATTGTGTGTAAGCAGGTTAGGGTTGAACATAGTGTAAGCAGGATTAGGGTTGAACACAGTCTTCAATTATTATTCCCTTTAATACCTACATAATTCGTACAAAGCCACAAACATGCAATGTTTTACAGGGCCCCCAAACTTACCCTGGTAAGGCCAGAATAGAAAGAAGGCTGAAGCTGCGGGGTCAAGAGCTTTGTGGTTTGGGATCTTGGTATTAGGGTTTAGGGTTTAGGGTTGGGGGTTCAGGGTTTTACAAACCCTAAACCCTAAACCCTAAACCTAGGGTGTTTAGGGGATACGCTTTCCCAGACCCCAGAGGTTCTAAAACATCGAACCTCCCAATACTCCCTTAGATTCCGCAAAGGAGAAAGGGGTCATTTGTTGGGGTTCCATTGTTGGGATTTTGTAGGGGGGTTGTGTTGTGATTCCTTTTAGTCTGTGTGTATTTCCAAGCTGCTTTGACTCCTAGTCCCTGGTTCTTAGTACGGAGTAAGGAAACATACATGCACACACATATATATATATAAACACATATATAGGGTTTAGGGTTTCGATCACTTGTTCTGAGAACAAGCCTGAGATGCGAAAGTTCCCCAATGCTGCATGGATCTCAAGGGTCCGTTCGTAGGGCAGAGCAAAATGCAGCGACCTCAGCCCAAATGAGCTATAGTCTAGACTCCTTAAGGGGTGTTATATGGGCTTATATAGGAGATTATGCAGGGCAGTATGATTGAGCTTATTAAGGAGACGATTAGGAGTTCACAGATTATTGCCCAGATGGGAGTCAAGATAGAAATTGGTCCCGGCATGACTTTGTTCTGGCCTTGGCCATGTAGTCTAGAGGGCGCCTTTTTGGGGGGGATTTCAGACCCTTGAGGGTACCTACGGGGTATATAGTAGGCATATAACAAGGATTTTTTTGCAAGAAACATCCTTAACAATGCATGTTGATGGAGGGGAACCGTAGTGGTCACATGGCAAGGTACTTCTTTCCAACCATGGCCAGGCCTTCCGTATACACGTAAGCAGACAGCATATTCACAGCTACCGGAACCCGTAAAGTATCTAGAGTTTTAGCTTTGTGGCCTCTTTTTCCTGGATTACTGGCAGGTATTTCTCTTACCCTAAACCCTAAACGCTAGACTCACTGTTGAAGTCCACAAAGATGCGAAGTTCATGGCCTCGTCTCAGGGTAAAAGTTTGATTCCTTTGCATGTTATGTGCATTCCACCGCAGCCTGGCACCTTGCTCCCTTAACGGTTCAGGGTTCGGAATGTTCTTTCTGTACGAATATTGTGCCCTTTATCAAAATACGATAAACCCTGAGCCTTGTCTTGTTAAATTGATTTGCCTTCTGCTTTCGTCATGGTATTGTTGAGGCTGCTCGCAACCCTAGTTCTGAACAATTTATTTGAATCACTCCCACGAAAACAATCAATGCTGGGTTCACGAGCTCTAATCTAAACTCCTCAAAGGAGGTGATATAGGGGAGTATCATAAGTGGCATTAGGGGGATACTAAGAGTTTAGACCCAAAACCCTGTACTAGAGGTTTGTCAAGGCTATTTCTTACACGCTTCCTGGTCCCCCTGGCTTGGCTTTCCCAGGGCGTGGAGCTTCCCTGGATATTGGAGGATGAGCCTTTGGCCCTAAACCCTAAACCCTAAACCTCACAGGGCGTGGAGCTTCCATGGATATGGGAGGATGAGCCTTTGGAGCAGGCGGCGAGCCTCAGGGAGGGGATTGACCCTGGTTATCTGTGGTCCTCGGCTTACTAAGGGGGATACTAGGAGTTTAGAGTTCAGTTCATATGTGGCTTAGCATGTGTGATGTTCGCTGGGCTTGGTGTTAGTTAGCTGAGCGGTTTGAAGTTTAGAGGTTTCCGGCCTCATAACAGTTATTAAGATTTAGGCCACCAGCTATTGATCTTTCCACATTCTTTGGGTTATACCCTATAAATATGTAGAACAGCAGCAATTAAAACAGCAAGGACATCCATGTCAAGGTACAGGCTAAATCCCCAAGGGTCAAAGTACCCAATAATCATATACTCCCCCCAAACCGGTACTATAATTCCTATTACCCAAATCCCAAGTACCTAATTATTGGGTACTTGGACCCTTAGGGAATGATGAAGCTGGAGGTTCCTTGTCCTCCAGCAGTTTCAGCACGTTCGCGTCAAGCAGATCTGGCCTTGCGCTTAGTAGGCCCAAATTGGGAATAGTTCAATGTGCCCGTACATATTCATAGATGGATTCCACCCTAAACCCTAAACCCTAACCAGCCTTTTTCATGCAGGACCCTCCAAGGCAGGCTTTAAGGGAACCTGGGCTGGGTTGGCATTTTGGATATTTAAGTATTGGACATTATGATTTTTGAAAGGGTTTAGGGGTTTAAGGTTTACTGTTGCGTGACGGGGCTTCTGGGAGCCCGACAGACGAGCAGAGTCCGGATGCAAAATGAAGGTTTCAGATATTTGTCAGAGCGCTCTAAACGCCAACCAAGTACGGGTAAGTAGTGGAGGGAGATGATAGGCAGTCGCTTTATTAGGGTATAGGCTTTATAGTGTTCTGAGGTGTTTAGACGCAGAAAGACCAGCCATAGCTTCAAGATGTCTACCTCCATTGCTTATCTTTCTTGTTAATGCCATTATGCTTTAAGTTGGCAACAGAAACATGCTTGTAGGATGTCCTGTAAATTGGGAGGTTCCTTCTGGGGGCCTGCAATTCGTATCGCATTTCCTGGTGCACAAAAGAAACTGAAGCTTCTGTCTCGAAAGTGGAAATTTTGCAGCCCTAAACCTCAAAACTAAAGAGGACGGGCGCAAAGCTTCCGCCTCTCCTAAGCCTGCAGCTACACCTCGCAAGGCAGGAGGGTGTAGGGCTTTAGAGGTTTAGAGTTCAGGGTTTAGGGTTTCGGGGGGTTAGGGGAAGAGTTTAGGGTACGAATAAGCTTGAGACAACTCCTTTTCTGAGAAACTATGCGTAGGTTTGTACGGGGATCAGGATTTGCTTCAAGCACTCCTAACAGGTGTCCCGAGGTCCTGCTCTGCGGTTGGGGACTTACATATGGTAGTGTCCTAAGATATAAGGGGACCCCAGTATAAGCCCCAATGTGCTATAATCCTTACTCTGGGGACCCCCAAAAAAGGTACCCCTAATTTTAGGAAACCCCCATATCCGAAAGCTTTAGCCCGGAACGGTCAAGGCTTGAATGCTACTCGCATGCAAGAACTACTATTCTTGCAACTCCTGTTGTGCGCCAATAATTTCGCCAACGAGGCAGGGCACGCTCCGTAACTTGGAATGTTTCGTCTTGAGGGGAAGCAGGTTCTTATCACCCGCAGGAACGGACCTATAAAGGATACACATATGTATATTCATGTATGTATATAATATACGCGTGTTTTCTCAGGGTATCATAAGTTTGGAAGCTCCCCGGAAGGCTTTCTCATCCCCGACCTATAACCTACGGGTCCCCACTATCACGGGTCATTTAAGGAGGGCGGCGACTTGGCGTTGGTAGTTCCGAAAACAAACACCATGCAGGCACTACAGGATTCACATTTTCATTTCTTAGCAAAAGAGTCTACTTGTAGATAGAACTGGAACGATCCCGCAGGAAGGGGTGAGCAAGGCCTCAAACACTTGTTCATCGGTGGCACTTGTTTTCCTCCATGGGTACGGGCTTCAGCCGCGCAGCACTTGTTGACTCTTCAAATTTCGGTCGTACGAGGAGCCCAGTGGCAACCATAGTAACACTCACTAATGCGCAGCAACAAAAATTGTAAGCAACACGCATTGGAACCAGAAGGTTGTGGGAAATAGCCTGCATAGCGTCCAGGTAAGGACTTGCTAAACAGATCAGTCTACGATCCCGTGCAGCCTGAAAACGCTCTTACAAGATGGGGGGTGCCTTAAAGTAGGGGGATAGGGGGGGGGGGGGTTACCCCAGGGCGCCCTATTTAGCGCCCTAT